GAGTGGTCTGTTGTATTGCCATTTAGACTTTGTGTGAAGGAACCCCGGTGGTGCTGTAGTGTGAGCTCACAGGAGAAAGATGTGGCAGTTTGCTTCCGTGAAAATTCCATAAACCCGTTGCCATTAAGTTGATTTGCACTTGTAGTGACCCTAGAAGACAGAGTAAGGCTGTCCCCGCAGAGTTTTCATGGCTGTCATCTTTTCTAGACAACTTCTGGATGTATTTTTCACAAAAACGTTGGTAATGTTAGTGGTAGAACCTGTGCTAGTTCTATTCTAAAATTTAACAAGTGTCTGCGGGCCAGCCTGCTAATCTAATACTGGTGTAGAATATTTTCTCCCCTTCTGGGGGAAGTATTTATTCTGAGCTCTAGATACTTACTTAAAAACAAATTTGCTCTTTTATGACTTGGGGAACATCAAACGTGTTGGTTCATGTATTAAATCCTAAATTCGAAGTGTAATCTCCCATACAACTCGGGGTATGGGATTAGGAATTGGGAATCTATAGCTGTGTGCTGTCAGTTCCAGCTCAGAGTGACCCTATAGGTCAGAACGGAACCTTACCATAGGATTTCCTAGGTTGGAGTCTTTACAGGAGCAGATTGCTAAATCTCTCCCGTGGAGCCACTGGTGTTTCTAACTGCTAACCTTTTGAGTAGCGGTTGAGTACGTAACCATTGTGCTACTCGGGCTCCTGTCAGTGAAACCGGGTGCTGAAATTTATCCCTCCAGAGATAAAATGGTTAAAGGAATTGAATTCTAGAATCATAACATGAGAATCATGGAAAACTACACATAGTGGCTAATTTAATATACCATTTCATAAGAATAATCCCAACATTATAATTGTATTGCAACAGAAGGTTAGGGAAGCTTTGGGGACACAGTAACTGCACTCCAATATTGCAAAAGAAACCTACAGGCCCCTGAAGACCCATTTAAAAAAAAAAATTCAAACACAAAGGGTCCCAATTTAGAGGACAAGACAATGCTGGCCTGTTTTTCCTGGACCCAGCTTTCAAACCAAATACCTGTTCAAAGCCGAAGTGGCATACTTATTGCTTGTTAAGTGAGTTTGAGTTGGTTCTGACTTACAGCGATCCTGTGTCAGGTTTTTGAGGCTGTAAATGTATACGGGAGTAGAAAGCTTTATCTTTCTCTCCCAGAGTAGCTGGTGGACTTGAACTGCTGACCTTGTGGTTCACAATCCAGTGCTTATACTATGGAGCTAATGCACTCCCAAACTGGCTTACTAAGAGAGAGTATTTATAATTTGTTATTTAATTTAAACTACTTAATATAGTTTTGTTGTTGTTGTTAAGTGCCATCGAGTCGATTCTGACTCATAACTCCGTATAAGGTTACCAAGGAACAACCGGTGAGTTTGAACTGCCGACCTTGTGGTTCAAATGGGTCTTGGGGCCCAGTGCTTTATCCCACAGTGCCACACCAGGATAGTTTATCTGTTGTAAATGTTTGAATTCAAATTTTTGAAATTTCATTGCAGGTACTGTGTTATGCTTTCTGTTAGTGTTCTGTTTCCTTACAATTAAATGTACTGCTTTTTAAGATCTCTTCACCTTTTTTATTATCACAGAAGAATAATGCTAACCTGAAGTCATTAAACTCAGACAAACCTGATGGTGAGGTAAGACTTTCTCCTTTATATCTTATATCTAATACTCCTTTTAAATCAATAATGGCACAGTTACTATAATTAAAATATATGCTTTGTAGGAGCAAGCCAAGATAGCAAAGCTTGGCCTTAAGCTGGGTTTGCTCACCTCCGATGCAGACTGTGAAATTGACAAGTGGGAAGATCCAGAGAATGAGATTGTTCGATATGGACGGAGCATGTCCAGTATGGCCTATTCTCTTTATTTATTTACTAGGTAAATATAGTTACATTTTGAATTTTTTTTTAGTAACTATGATAATATCTGGTATAAAGAAAAAAAATGCTATGTTAAATGGCTGATAGATTAAAGTAAGTATCAAATATATGGTAGAGACACAAAGTAGTTCTTCTGACAACTGAGGGTTTCTGGGTAGACCAAATGGTTTGTTTCATTACTAATCTAATATGGGTGGTTAGAATGACAATTATTTGATTAATTAAATAACAAAGAATTTAATTTTACAAGGGATCCTCTTCTAGGTTTGTGCCCATTTTCCCATCATTTTGAAATAAGTTTGTCATCCTATGTATCAGTTTTCTCTCCCAGGCTGCACCAATAAGTTTAAGAAAACATGACTGTTACATCGTTATACAAGCGATTGGTTAAACACACATCAAATGATAGAGTTTTGAGGTCTACCACTGGAGACCTCTAGGGTGCCAAGTCTCCCTGAATTAGCTTCCTTACATAGCAGAGAATTTTCCTAACTTTATTATTACCTGACCTACATTCTCGGCCTTGTCCATATTAGAAGGGTCTCAATCAAATGCCTGGCTGGTCAGTGGTGATCACATTAGGGTCCTCTATTAGTCTATACATATGGTGTGGCACTGTAGGATAAGCACTGAACAACAAGGTTGGCACTTCAAACTCACCACCTGTTCCTCAGAACAACATATATATAGTATAATAATTCCACATTGCTAGATCTTATCTGTACAGTAATCTACTCTCAAATTTTCTCAAGGAGTGACTTCTGATTTTTTGTTCATTCCCTGAAATTGACCTTTTCCAGTATTAGAAGCCTGCAAAATATTTCATGTTCCTTGGTTTTTGCCCCCTCTCTTAATCATTCTGATTTTGAAAAGATTACCAGCAGCAAGTCACACCTTGTTGCATTGTTCTGCTATGGCATTCCTTTGGCCTAACGACTTAAAGTAGATGTTGTAGGCTTTAGGACTCAACACATTGCACCCCTGTCCACCCAACTTCTGAACAAACTGAAAAATAAGTCAAAGAATAAGGCATTTGGGGGCCAGTAGCATTTGTAATTGATAAAGCTCATATTGGAGAATGTAGTTGATATCCACAGACAATGACCTAGGATGAGAAGTGTTATTTCACCCATGGGGGCAGAATCTCTCTAGAAAACATCTGGAAAAGCAGGTATCTCCCAAAGACAGCTTTACCTCCATGAGAAAAAGGAGACAAGAGGGCTGCCATGTCCAATTTCTTATTTCAAAGTCACCAAAAAATCTGAAAAGGTAAGTGCCTACCCTGTCTGGGCTGGAGTAAGTGAGGAGCAGAGAGAGCAGTATGGGTGTTTGGCTAGTGGACATTCCTTCAGGTGGAAGGAAGACGAGGCTTTGGACTGAAGCCACCCCTGAATATCAGGCTTCATTTCCTGGCTGCTGATGTCTTCTGTTTGTTCTAGATGGATAATTCTTGAAGGAGAAGGCAGAAATGATGTTTAAGTTTCATAGCAACTAAGAGGCAGGATTTGTTGCTCCTAGATTCTAGATCTTCTGGTTCATGCACTTTTCTTTTTTCATTTCTTTTCCTAATGCATTCTGTTGGTAGTTCCTGGGTCATAAAAGAGATCTGTTCCTAAGTGTGTCAGTAAGTCTCTAAGTGGAATTTGTAGCTATGTCAGAACACATACATGCAGTTCTTATTCAGCCTTACTTCAGAGGAAGAAAAGGCTTGAAGCTTTTTTAGTCAAAAAAACTGCATGTGTAGCAAGTGGAGATGATGGTGATGAGGAATTTGTTGCAAATAGGGGGATTAGCCATGAGCTACTAACCACAAGGTTGGCTGTTCATACCTACCAACTGCTTCTCAGAAACCCTATACAGAGTCTCTGAGTCAGAATGGACTCAGCAGCACTTAACAACAACAACAGGAACTGGGTAAAGTGAGAGCAGATTTACCTAGGGCAAGCAGAAGTTGTCACTAAGGTGGTGGTTCATAACATGGGGACTTACTGTAGTTTACTTTTACTTGCAATTTACATTTCATTGAATTATTCTTGGTCATTTTTAGTGTGCTATTACCCATTCTTCTCGTGAGAATGATAGTAAAATTACTACTATAATTACTTTATATATTCATAGTCGAAGCCTAGGTGACCGACACCATCAAGGTTAGACAATTGCATTATTACCAGAGTTGAAATTAAAACTGTGTCACCGTTGAATGCCTTCGAGTCGATTCTGACTCATCATGACCCGACTGGACAAATTAGATAAACTGCATATGGATTCTAAGAAAGTCATTCTCTGCAGTAGCAGAGTGCCAACCACAGCTTTCTTCATGGAGTGGCTAGTGGGTTCAAACTGCCAGCACTTAACCACTGTGCCAACAGGGCTTGGTTTGAAATTAGAGTTAGAGATGAGAATTTCCTGACTTGGTTGATATTATCATCTTTCCACTGTCTAACAAAGGCCTTTTGATTACGGTATATAAAACCTTATGTATTTTATTTGTGAAGTTCAAGGAGGCCTCAAAAAGTTCATGGAAAAATGGAATGAAAAGATAACAGAATTTTTCAACAAACTTTTTGAAGCACTTCATATAATGAAAAGGTCAAAAAAGATCAGTAAAACAAGTATAACTCATCATTTAAAAAATTTCTGTATAAAATTAACATATCTTTACTTGAATAAAATTAAAAGTACTCTTGGCACTTCAGGATAATGCTTTGAACTCCAAGATCAATTTGAACTGCAAGGTTGTATATTCAAACATAGCATCTGCTCCTTGGAAACCCTATACAGGGTCAATGAGTAAGAACTGACTCGATGGTACTTATGACAACAAAATAAGTAATAGTTAAATATTAAAGTTGCGTTAAAAGTAAAATCTTTATTCCATATAACTTAAATGTTGTCGAGTCTGTTCCAATTCCTAGGGTTTTAAAAAGTGGCTGATGGGTTTGAACATCTGACCTTGAGGATAGCCGTCTAGTCCTTCAGGCCACAACAGGACCCCATTCAATATGATTAGTCTAGTCAATCTTGTAATATAGAAAATGCTCTAAAATTTTAATACTATAAAATCAACTTCCAGGCAATAACTTTTTTATTATCTTTTATTACTCATTTTATTTCAGAGGAGAGGGGCCACTGAAAACTTCCCAGGATTTAATTCATCACCTAGAGGTAGGAAGAAAGCATAAAGATATGTACCTAGTGATGGGATAGCTTCATCTATTGGGGAAACCATTTGAACTATTGATTGTCAACAAATGTTCATGAGTACTGGTGGTTAGGACTTCAGTATATATTTTTTGGGGGAAACAATTCAATCTGTGGTGGTGGTGGTGATGGTTGTGTGCCATGGAGTCAGTTCCGACTTACAGTGACCCTGCATAGGGCTTCCGAGGCTGTAAATCTTTACAGCAGCAGAAAGTCTCATCTTTCTCCCATGGAACGGCTGGTAGTTTCAAGCTGCTGACCTTGAGGTTAGCAGCCTGATTCGTAATCACTATGCTACCAGAGCTCACCTGGCAAACTCACACCAAAATATTCTGTATACCATTTTGAAATAATCTTTTAAAATATACCCATCTTATCTGTCCAACCTTATTTTTCACTGTTATTTCTCACCGTACTGTTTTCCTTACAATTACAAAATGTATGGTATATGTGAATAATTACAGTACCATCTGATTGGCCCTCTCAGGTGCCTAGTTAAGAAATGTGACAAAATGCATCTTGCTTAGTTGGAAGCAGGTAAGTTCTCTCCCTTTTGACCTCATGTTCCAAGATTCATCACCCATTTATAATTGGGGATATTAGGAGATGTTGTTGTTGTGAGGTGCCATTGAGTAGTAACCCTCTGCACAACAGAACCAAACACTACTTGGTTCTGTACCAACCTCATTGTTATGTTTCAGCCCATTGCTGCTGCCACTCTGTCCATCTACCTACCTCCTTGGGAGTCATCCTCTTCTTTACTGACCCTCTGCTTCAGGATTAGTGGTAGTCCCTCCTAACAACATGTCCGAAGGATGAGGGATGAAGTCATATTAGGACATGAGCCCTCTGGAATCCTAGGCACAGTTTCTGTGGCTAAATGTCATAAGTCTGTGTAATCCCCCAGAAGAACTGGAGGTATCCAGACCAGCAGAGCCTTTCCAGTAATTCATTTTGCATCAGTCCAGGAAATCTGAATACAGTGAAATTCTTGTATTTCCCTAGATATGACACAAAGGTTAGGAGCCCCGTGACAGGCTTTTTATTTTTAGGTTTTGATTTTTAAATTCTATGTAAAAATGATTAATGGGTGTATGTCTGAAACAGTCTTTTTTTCCCCCCCCACCAGGCTTTTGCCACGGAGGGCTTAAAGTTTGCGTCAAGTGTCCAAGCCTTCTCCAAACAGGTACTGCATACCTAGCTGTCTGGAGTGGGTGGTGATGTCATGTTTATCGACTTTGGGGATTTATTAGTTAGGTAAAAAGCTATATAAGGTCTGAAAGGAGGAGTTTTGTTGGGGTTGTTATAAGTTCTTTAATTACATTTCAGCTGAAAGATGATGACAAGCTTATGCTTCTCCTGGAAATAAACAAGCTAATTCCTCTATGCCAACAGCTGCAAACAATAATTAAGACACCGCTGCCGAATAAAGTGTTTCTAAAGGTAAGCGAGAGGGTGGATTATTCAGGTAGACACTTGAGAAACTATTTCTGTTTTTAATCAGGCTAGCTTCAGCCACCCTTTGTTTTTGCTGTTTTCAAATCAAATATTAATATTCACAGGACAATTTATTTCTATTTCTCATGCATTGATTTTAAGAATCGTTTGTTATGCTGATCCCAGGGAGCAGCTGATTCAACTAAATGAGCATTTTGCACATTAGTGTTTTAGCACTGAGCTAAACCCTAACTCTCAAGTCATCACAGGGCTTGTTGTTAACTTCTTTCCAACCCATAGCGTTTCCAAGGAGCAGCTGGTGAGCCTGAACCACCAACCTTGTGGCTGAAATGACTTTGCAGAACAGTGCATTAGCCCACAGCACCACACCAGTATTGTAATCACAGGGCTTACCACGGCATAAATCCCTCACAGCCAGGGCTCCCATAATGTGCTTTAGAGCATTTGGGCTTGTGCCCATGAAACAAATGCAAAGTTTTGGAAAGTAGGGAATTCGCTATCACTATTTGGAAAGCTTTGAGAAGCTGTTAGGACTTAAAGTCAAACAGCTGGTTTTCCACCCATTCTTCCTGGGGTTCTATAAACTAGGCCTGAGACCTGGGCACCCCTGCATCGGTGTTGGTTAAGTGACCTTTGGAGACCTCATCGATTTTCACAGTGGAGAAATGTTATCATTTTCAAGCTCAGTAAGTGATGACTTTTGGAACCTGGTTTGTACACTGGTTTGTAGGTGGACAAGTGCATTACCAAAGCGAGATCCATGATGGCTGTCCTGATCCGGCTTCTCTCACTTTGCTGTAAACTACTGGAGAAGGTGAGATGGGCTTTCTATTTTAAAGTTACTTTTAAAAATGAAAGGACAGTGTACAAGAAAATAATGCTCTTTAATTTTGGTTTATTTATCTCATAAAGCCGAGACTAAATGTTACATGAACTCTTTCCAACTTCAGGTGGAGAACAGATGGGCCTCAGTTTCAGATAAAGACACCATGGATGGTAACACTTGAGAAGCTTTTGGGGTCAGATCTCTGGAACATCATGTGGCAAAAATGACATTTCTAGAAAGAAAATGATCTCTTCTGTGTAAGAATTTCAGCAACTTTACTAAGAAAACCATATTGAAATCTTGCTTTATATTCTTATCATGAAACCAATTGTGAAGCTTTTTGACAACTAATACATGCCATGGTAGTTGCTAGAATTGTAATTGCAGTGTGGTTTTAAAATGAAACATTGCCTATAAGAATGTTCTTTGAAAATCAAACCAAATATCACAACCGTCTTAATGACAGTTTAATCCAAAGAAGCTTTTTTGACTATGCTCACCTTTGGCATCTTTTCCCGTAACCGTTTTCTTTCTGTAAGTTCTATATAATGAACTTTCAGCAGATCCAGGAGTCTGGGTGAATGCAGGGTTTTCCTTAAGCCTGTGGACGCTTCCATGCTCCCTCTGTCCAAGTGTTAGGGGGTTTCCCTGCTGTTAGAGGATCCCTGCTATCATGTTCTCTAACAGGTGTCTCCTGTACCACATTTGTTGTGCTGCTTGTGCCTTCCTGTCCCCAAAGCAAGGTCATGGTGCTCACTTCACGGACTCATGGACGAACTCACCACAAGATGGCGCTCTCTTAACTCAAGTTGTAGCACAGCTGGCTTGTTGGCCCTGAATACTACTAGCTGCAGGCTTAAACCTACCGACGGGCTTAAGAAAATTAGTCTTTGAATTTTTCCTCAGAAGTGATTGAGTCGATTGGATGATATGGAACTACAAAGCTATTTAAAATAAATTCTGATTAGTCATACATGTGATATAAGTGGTTTTGTTTTGGAATGCTTATTATAAAAGAAACATGTTTCTGTACTCATTTAGTTTTCTTGTTACCATGGAACTACACTTTGATTGAAGGATCGGATTTACAGTTTTTCTTCATATGATACACTATGGTTAACATTTAAACTCTAATTTCATGGTGTTTATATGAGGTTAAGTCAAAAAGTATTGCTATAAAATCATAGAAATCTTTATTCAACAGAAATGTCAAGATGTCAGGCTATTATTTCTTGATGTGTATTATTACATGCTCTGTGTCTGTATACTTCTGAAGGCAGTGTTTCTCTAATCCTCCACCCTGAAGAATACTGTTGGATTTGTTGATGTTAAGTGCTGTTGAGTCAGTTTCTACCCAGATCAACCCTATATAGGGTTTCTGAGAAGCAGCTGGTGAGCTTGAACCACTGACCCTGCTGTTCAAACAACTTTGTAGTCTGGTGCATGATCCCACAGCGCCACACCAGGACGCCTTCAAAACAGCAGTTTTGGCATCCTCACAGGACTCAAAGTGTATTCCTTCTAACTATGATGAGTTTGGAGAATAAAAGAGTATGAAGGGGAAGATCAGGGCTGTAGGGTGGGTAGGGTAAAGTTTCTCAGTTTAACTCTCATAGGACAGTCCTTGCTACCCTTGAAGAATGCGCACGTGTATTGACATGATGGGAAGTAATTCCTTGGTGCAACTTTCCTGGCCTTTTACTCACCGATACAGCTCTTAATGTTCATTAAGATTTCTGTATAAGGTGAATGTAGCGGGAGACTCAGGGAGGAGTGCAGGGCTTAAAGTGAGTAGAGTTAAAATAGTTAACTGATGGTACACGGAGGGGATTTCAATCATTGTAATGAAGCAATATATATGGTTTGTTGAATATAAAACTGATAGTCTGCACTGTAATCCTTCACTCAATTCACAAGATTAAAAAATTTTTCCTGTATAATGAGCCCCCATGATCATCCTGTCTTTGAGAAAATCTATCAAGATTACCCCTCTAAAATCCTAAAACAGTGGCCATAACTTTCTGAGCTGACCTTTCTGTGCTTAACTGTCCCAACAGATCCCCTTAGAAACCACGTTTTTGATTGAACCCATTTTTTGAAGGTAGTTTTACAAAGGTCATTAACTGTTGCTAAGTGCTATTGGAGTCGATCCATAGCGACTCTGTAAAGTGTATCTGAGGAGCAGCTGGTGGGTTTGAACTGCTGACTTTGTGGTTCAAAGACCAGTGCTGATCCTACAGCACACCAGGGGTCCCAATGAGGCTTGTGACAAGTGTATGGCTGACAGAATTTGTCTGCAGACACCAAGTGATCACAGAGACAAATTTAAAAGTAGTTTTGTTTGGAATAAACCCATTCAATGTATGAACTGGAACTCTAGTAGCCATACTTTGTGACTAACCCTCATGTTCTAATGGTCTGGAGTTGTTTTTGAAATCTAATGGAAGGAGCTTGGTAGTATAGTGGTTAACCTCAAGGCCAGCAGTTCGAAACTACCAGCTGTTCCGCGGGAGAAAGATGAGGCGTTCTGCTCCCGTAAAGATTTATAGCCTCGGAAACCCTGTACAGGGTTGCTATGAGTCGGAACTGACTCCATGGCACACAACAACAACAACAACAATGGGACATGTCAGTTTCCAGATGTCAATAGTTAAGTAACCTAAGCTTATCTAATGATCCCTATCTGGGTTGGTCATCACAATCAATAGTCACAAAAGATCCTGGAGAATCACAGTACCACCAATTGTTGTTGTTAAGTGCTGTTGGTTCCTATCCTAACAACCCTCTAGAGGGTTTCCAAGGAGCAACTGGTGAGCTTGAAACAATTAGCTACCCAATATTTATTGAGGAAAACCTTGAAGGGAAACTGTCGTTTCTATTCCATTTGAACTTTGTGAAGTACCCTAAGCTAGTTCTAACTAGTGAATTCACCCAGGATCAGAGATACTTTATTTACAAGTGTAAATTTAAAAATTGATATTAATCTTATCTAAAATTGCCAAGCATTCATCCTAGTTAATGACTTTTATAAAATGCTTTAAGTAGTAAAAATCATCAAGAATGTCTCTTAGTCCCTGAAATAAAAACATTTCAAATTATAATAAAATTAGGGGAATGTGAGGTAATGTTATATAAAATAAAGTAGATGTGATTCTTTTAACATCTTCAATATCTTTGTCTAATGAATGATCTTCAGTCATCATTGTTTGTGCTACTAGAAGTGGGGACTGTGCTGGTTTGAGCTTAGATTTTCAGCTCAACACCGTCTGTTTCGAGAGTTACTTCTCTGTATCCTGTCTTGTGGGTGTGTTTGGGGATAGTCGTACTGGCATTCAAGTTACAAGAGGTTTTCTTGTGAAATGAAAATAATTTTTTATTTCATTTACAAAACACTTTTACATATTTAAAAAGAGAACATTCTCTTATGTAAAATGCAAGTGATATCCAAACAGCATTTACATGGCAAGTGATTTCTTCTGCATTAAATAATTGTATACTATTTAAAAACAGGCATATTTAAATGTATGTGTTACAGCCCTTAAGGAAAAAATTCACAACTTTCAAATTCAGTATAAATAACTACTTACCCTCAAACCATTTAATTTATAAGGTTTCTTTTAAATAATAATGATATGAAAGCCTTTGTTCTGTTCAAAGACATCTGTGCCCTTGAACAACATATTCTCACTTTCTTTGCTAGTTGGCCCAGAGCTACAGTGTGATACTGAATGACTATCATGTCCGTATTGCAGTAGCCAGCTTCACATCGCATTACGTTAGGAAAGCCCCTCTGTATTTGCCAGAGCCTTTCATATGTCCCTCTTTAAGAAGTCACAGCCTGTAGTAGTCTGTTTCAGAGAGGAAGACCATCCAGCAGCTCGAGGCGAGAAGGTACAGACTACACTCTGCTGCTCTTCTACAACCTAAAGGGCGAAGAGTTGAGGAGGCAAAAGGCACTGTCCCTGGTGGGGGTGGGGGGTGGGTTAGGCTTTTTGGTAGAGCCATACAGAGGCAGACTGAATAAGAAAGGCTGGCACGCTAGTTTGTTTGTTAGACTCAAACTGATGGAAACGGAGGCAAAACAGAAATATTCATGCAGAAATATGTCAAAATCTAGTATGGGGGCTTCGAAAAGTTGTAGAAAACTAATTCCATTATTTTTTAATTCCACTTTTCCATGAACTTGGAATATTTACGGACTCTCTAGGATGATGGATAAATGATTTTCACTTTGTTACTTTTGGAATCCTGATTTGGAGTTAAGAGGAGAAGCACTGGAATGCAAGGTCAGCAGTTCAAACCCACCAGTTGCTCTTTGAAAGCCCTGAATGGGGTCACAATGAGTCAGAAACGACTAGACAACACTTAACAACAACAGCCACAACTTAAAACTTTTATATTTTCTAAATTTTCCTACAAGTGCATTGAAGAGTAAAAAGAATTCAAAAAGCACTTCTTGCTTGCCAGTGTTAGGAAGAGAAGCCAAAGAGGAATTCGAACACTGGCAGGGGAGACTGGGAGGTGACACATGAAAGGTGTGAACCAAGGCTTGTTAGATATCCAGTAACGGAACATGAGGGTAAGCGAAGGCTCAGGCCTCCCCTGCGGATAGCTAGTTCTTCTCTAGGGTCCTGATTGTTTAGTCCACAGGAGGATGGATGAGACTCCGTGCTGCTCTGTCTCCAAAGCAAGCCTCATGATGTAGCTGCTGCGGCAGGAATGCGTTTCACTACGACTTCTTCATACTGCTTTTGTGTTAATAACCCTTCTGTTATACTCTTACTTTCTTCAAATTTGGGCAACACAACTGCAATGTAGCCTTCAGTGGATGGCTGGAAAGGAAACAATGTGTAACACTATCAAATGATTAAAAAATCACATAGGCGGTATGGATGTAATCTTCCTTACCTTCTCTTGAAGAATAGATGGCTTATGGAGAATGTTTTCATTCACTTCCATCAACCGTCCTCTCACACAGCTATTCAAAAACAAATTGATATTTTTGAGAAAAATATCCCTTTTTCTCATATTTGTAGTTAGAAAGTAAGTAACTCACCTAGATATGGTGTATTCTTCTCCGTCTGAGCAGTAAATCTTACACAGAGGTGCCAGTTCTGTCAGAAACTGGGCCCCCTATGTAATTAAAGAAAGGGAGAGTTAAGTGATGTACACTTTTGGCAA